GGGCAGAAAGTAAGATCATACTTATTCGTGCCATGTGTTGTGTCAAATGAGAGTATATCTCCAAATGAAGAGTAATTTAAACGACTTAATGAATCAGCCCAAAACACTCTCTTCAAGCGACTCTCTTCATCCACTTCATATGCGAAGTAAAACCCTGGCTCTGTCTCTTTTCTCCTCTTTAACGTGTCAATAAACATATGGGCATCATTGTCTTTGATGATGGCCTTCAAGCTTCTTTGATAGTTCAAAAAATCCTTTTTCGTACAACCCACATTTTGATGACCCATCATCACCTCAGCCGTAACATCAAAAACCTTAGAGGGACCTACATTGACTCTACTAGCACTACACAACATGTGCTTGTGCGATGTAGAAACTTCCCTCGATGAAGATAGGAAATGTCTTCTACTCGGAGTAACCATGGGATGGACATGGGACTCTTCGAACTGAACAATCTTACAACCCTCCTCACAAGACACAACTAAAATACGAGCACGACAACCTTCTCGAGTTTCTGCTCTTTTCTTTCTTTTTGGTTGTTTTGAGTTTATTGATTTTTCAGATAGGGGATACTGCTCAGAAAGGGGATCCTGCTCTTGAGGATGGGTTATAACTTCAAGGCCAGTTTTAGGTTGTTTCCTAAAGCCTTCTTTTGAACACACATATGTTTTCCAAGTTTTATCCCCATTTCTACTTTTTGAAGATGAACCACAACGCATGCTAAACCCCGATTCCCGGGCATACTGATTGTAGAACGCTTGGCATTCTACAAAACTCGAAAAAACTTGACCTATTTTAATCTTTAAGTTGTCTGGTACATTAGGAACCCAATTCCCCAAAGTTATAGAAGCAAATGATGGCGTTTGTAGAAAACTAGAATCAATTGAATAGCTTTCCATTTGCATAAGATAAAAGCAACCTATAGAATATGTCAAAGAGGGAGAAAATAAACATAAACTATAATTTCTTATCACGAGGAAAAAGTTAACATAAACCGTGTTCAATTTCTTTTGCACTTTTATTTATTTATCTGGAGAAAATCAATGCAAAAATGGAACGTTTAGAGCCAAAAAGAGTAGACATCTTGAGGCAAATAAAAGAAGCTGAAGGTGATAAGACAACATGCTTCTACTGTGACAGAATGAGGCACATTAGGTTGCATATGTTCATGTTTGAATGCTCAATATGGTGACGTGTAAGTGTGTAACATAATAGAATGTTAATTGTGTCCTGATATGTGTTAAACTTGTGACTCCAGTAGTTGTTCTTGGATCAGTTAGACACTCAGTTACGATTTATTGTGCTCTTAAATTAGACACTTGATCATTGCCTACCCTCCCTCCCACCACTTGTTTTGCATCACATCAACTAGTGCGATGGTGATTACTCTGCATTTTTGATAGTTCAATTTTTGCAATTTTAATAAGGTCCATTGAAAGCCAGTACAGAATGTATCCATTTTCATAAAACTCGCCAAACATTTTGATAAAACTCAAAAAACATTACTGAGTTTCCACATTCTAGTTTTTATATTAAGGATGAATATACAAGATAGCAACCAAAAATAAATCTTAGTACTCACCCATTTAGAAACCATCAGGTAACTCAAATCCGCATACTGAGAAATTCATAGGCACAACTTTTTTCATACCTTTCTCCATTACTTTCATCACAAAGAAAAGAGCTCTTTTTGATAAATTCTCTAAAAAAACTTATCTTAAAAAGGCATAAAAAAATAGAGTAGAACGAATTACCTGGTAAGTAGTATGTTGTCCAACAGATGAAGAAGAAGGAATACCCTTGACTAATCCAATGACAAGTTGAATACGATGTCTTCCATATCTGGGAATCAAACGTAGAGGTCAGATAAAATTCACGTGAAGAAGCTGATGAATTTGAAAGTGATTAGGAAGATTAATTGAAGAGGCGGCTAGGGATTTTAGATTCGAATTTGAGAAAGAAAATGAAATTAGAGAAGAGAGGATGAAAAATGGAGAAGAAGCATCGGCGAAAATTGGGGAAGAAGATGGAATGCATCGGCGACAATTCGGGAAGAAGATGGAAACGGGAACAGAATGAAATTGGGGAAGAAGATGGAAACGTGAAAGAAAACGGGGAAGGAAACGGGAAATGAAACAGAAGTAAGAAGCGCGTGTGTCATCTAATGGGAACCGTCATCTTACCGAAACTCGTCATCTAACCGGAACTACGTCAAAAACAGATGTTGACAACTGTTTCTTTTAGTAGTCTCTCGGTGCTGATTTCAGTAGTCTTCCGAGCAGCTGTCTGATATATTTACAAACTATTGTTTAAAAACAATTGTGTAAAATGGTTGACGACACCTGTTTTGTAATGTTTTAGAGTACCACTTTTTAGTGTTGTCCCCGTATGAGTAAGACATCTGTTTTTTAGAGTTAAAGATAACTGTGATTTTTTGTTGTCTATCTATAATGAATACTACTATTGTTTCTAACTTCAGACTCCTAATTCTTGGTGTTGTCGTTCAACAATATAGACATCTACTTCAAAAAGTAATTGAAAGATACATCAGACTGCTGCTCGGAAAACTACTAAACAAAAATAAGATTAGACAACTGTTATCTTTTGTTGTATTTCTAGAATATGGACTACTAATTTTTCTATATTTTAAACAACCGTTCCTTTCAGTTGTATAGTGCTCAATAACACTGCGTTTTTTTGTAGTTGTCCTTGAAATATTCAAACTATCATTTTACACACTAGTTAGATTATAAATCAGACTACTGCACCGAAGACAACTAAGTATGTTTGCATAAACAACTGCTATTATGTGTTGTATTTTTAAAATGTAAACAACCTTATTTGTTGTATTTCATACAACTGTTTGTTTAAATTGTCTAACGTTTATTAACAATTCAGGTTTGTGTAGTCATCCTTTAAAGATTTAGAAAACTGTTTAAATACATTGTAAAGCTTTTTGAAAGACTACTATATTTCAATTTACAATTATATTTAATAATTAAAATTTATTTCAATTCTAAAATATTGATCATGAAACAAAAATAAATTCCAAAATGTACAATATATTGAATAATACCTAAATACATACAAATATACAATCCAAAATCTTAATAGCATCCAATAATTTAATCTTTACATAATTAAAATCACATTCTAGTTGTCCATTGAGCATGCTTAATTTAGTTATTTGTCCCCTCAATAACATCCAACATTGAATCAGGGGAATATAGACCTTCAATTCTTGATGCCGTTGTGACCATGATAATCTACAAGCAAAACATATATGAGTTGAATCACCAAAAGATTAACCTAACCGAGGAAAAGAACCTTCATGCAAGTGACTAGTAGAGGTTTGTGATTAATCTGCAGTCATATCAGTATGATTAGGAGTATTGCCTTTATGCTCACTTAAACAAGTGATCGTATTAAAATCACTGCCAATAAACCATTGGTGTGAAATGACAAAGGTGTCAATAATATTTTTCAATAGTGTTCTTCTTTCTCTTCCTATGTGCTTTCCATATACTCTACTAGAAATGTCCCAAAAAGTACAATTGACCAATTGATCAAGCTCATTGATTTTTCAAAGAAAGAGTCTTGCGTTATTGTAAAATATCCAGACCTTGTTGTTAAGAACATCCTAGGAGTCCGTGAAGCCTAGCTTAAACATGTAGGAGTCCAACTTATTTGGAGCCACAATTGGCTCAATAACAACAAGAAAATCAATTGAGTAGGATTTTACTTGAGAAGTAAGTCTGTTAAGGGATGACTTAATCCTACAAACATTCGAGAAAAATATGTATTCAGTAATATATATACAATACACTTGAAAATGTAGACAAGGATGCAAGTTTGAAGGAGAACAGATCAAATATTTCTTTTTACCAGTGAGAACGGCTACTATGCTCATTCACATTGTTGGATCCCACAGCCAGTGCACTGCTTTCAGCCTGCAACACACTCCATACTTCGTTAATATTCTCAACTCTAGCTTCTACTATTCCCGGTATGTGATGAAATTTACAATAGAAGATGTTACCTATGAGTATACTAAAACACACACATGACCTTAAAACAGCTCCAACAATTATCCTAAATAGTTCATAAATTAGACCTTAATATACTCTAATGAGTCAAACAGTCAAATTAAGCATGCTGTGCCGCAGCAGACATCTATTCACAATCAAAGCTAAGTCAGAATAGATGCAGAATTTGTAGCTTTTCATAAATCCACAACTGTTAGGCTTTAGTGAGAAAAGCCTAGCGACATTTACATTTTCTTAACAGATCGGATTGAAACTAGAAGGAAACTCACAACTCCATTTGGCGATTGGGTAGTCAAAAGAGACATTGCAGATATAGCATATATCGCCGGAGTCGCTGCCCAGACGCCGTCGCTGGCCTGCCTTCTAGACACCTTTGCTGCTATTTTCGCCGGAGCAGAGGATGCTCGCTGGACTCCCCACTGTTTAATTCACCGGAAAAGATGGAAGCCACTCCCCCCTTCTCGCCGCTGTTACCCTCGGCGTCGGTGGAGATCATCACCACCACCCCTCTGTCTGATCGGAAATTCTCCACCAAAGATGGAGGTCTCGCACCGCTGACCATTCTTAGACGTCGACTGGCCTCGCGGCATCGCCCTTCCCCGTCGCTGCTGGACTTCGCCGGGACAGAGGGAGTCGCCGAAGCCTGCTACAGGGGACGGTGATCGGAGTTCGTCAGAGAAGGAAAACTGGCTAGGTCTAGTGGCGGCGTGTCTCGATCGGGGAAGAAGGAGGCGTGAAAAGAGTATATATATGCCTAGGGTTTTGCTCTCTGTAATTTAAAATAACGTGTCTGAGTAAAACACACCTTTCGGGCCAACTTGCTCCGAATTGAGATCAGTTTGCATCGTTGGATTCGATTCGTCGATCCCTACCCAGCAGTATAATGTTTCTAATCATTTAACAAGCACTTATAGGTCCCATCTAGTCCGTCTTAATTCTCTCGATTAGTTAGTACCGATCGGTCTTTTACGACAAAATTCATAAACTTTGACCACTAAAATAAAATTGACTTTAGATATTGATACCAAATAATTTTATATTTATTTTATAAAATACTTTCAAAATATTATTATTTCTAAAAGATTATTGTATTTCAAAAAAACACAGATAGATAAAATTATATCAAATCAGATCATTGCATCTCAGTTTAACATGTTTATATGTTGTTTAGATGATATCTAATCAAACCATATCTCATCAAATAAGATAAAATCAAATCGAATTAATTTTTTTTTAAATATAACTACAATTTGATCAAGGAGATTAAATCTATTCCAATTAGATCTTAATTAGATAAGATAAGATAAGATAAGATAAGATAAAATAAAATCTAATGAAATCAAATCTCAACTTAACATGTTTGTATGTTGTTTAGATGATATCTAATGAAATCAAATCTCATCATATCATATTAGACTAGATCAAATTAAAAGAGTTTTTAACATAACTAATCGGACTAATTATATCAAATCGGACAAAAACATATCTAATCAGAATAAATCAAAGTCAAATCCAATAAGATCAGATCAAATATTAAAAAAATCAATTAGACCAGTCAAGATTAGATCTTATTAGATAAGATAAGATAAGATAAAATCAAATCCAATTAGGTCTGATTGCTTGTATATTTCACGCGACCCAGTGCATCTCAGTTTAACATGTTTATATGTTGTTTAGATGATATCTAATCAAATCAGATTAAACCAGATCAAATTAGAAAGAGTTTTTAAATATAACTAGAATCAGATCAAGCATATTAGATCTAATCAGATAAGATAAGATCACATCAAATTCAATCAGATCTTATTGCTTGCATATTTCATGTGAGCCACTCCATCTCAATTTGACATGTGTATATGTTGTTTAGATGATATCTAATGAAATCATATCTCATCATATCAGATTAGACTAGATCAAATTAAAAGAGTTTTTAACATAACTAATCGGACTATTTAGATTCAATCAGACAAACACCGATCTAATCGAAATAAATCAAAGTCAAGTCCAATAAGATCAGATCTAATCTTCAAAAATATTGAATTAAATCAAATCCAAATCTAGTAAGATCAAATCAAATATTAAGAAAAATCAATTTAATTGTATAGGTCGTGTCATATTTGCCTGATCTAATCTTTAAATACATCATATCAAATCTAATTAGATTGAATCAGACCAAAATAGATTTGATGAGATCAAATCAAATTCAAATCTATTAAGATCAGATCAAATCTTCAAAAAAACAAATTAATTATATAGGTCGTGTCTTGATTGCCTGATTTAATCTATAAATGCGTAAGATCAGATCAAATTAGATCGAATTAGACCAAAATAGATCAAATTAAATCAAATTCAAATCCAATAAGATCAGATATAATCTTCAAAAATATCAAATCAAATTCATATCTAGTAAGATCCGATCAAATATTTAAAAAATCAATTTCAAATCGGATCTAATTAGATTGAATCAGACCAAAATAGATCTAATCGGATCAAAACAAATTCAAATCCAATAATATCAGATCTAGTCTTCAAAAAAATCAAATTACTTGTCAATTTTCTATACAATTTTAATATTCTTAAAGTTTACCTCCAAATCTATACATGTCAATCAGATTTAGTTAATATTCTTAAAAGGGTTATGCTACACTTACACCACAAATTGTACCCCATTTGTACACCGCAGTTATACACAAACATTTTGATGGTTTACACGGGCACAAGTATTGGTGCGTTTAACAGAAATTTACACGGACACAAATTGTTGGTGCATTAACAAAAATTAGTTTTACACCAACACAAAGTGTTGGTGCAAAGCTACGGGGTACAAAGTGGGGTACAAAACATGGGGTACAAATAGCTTTATCCTTTTTAAAAATTTAAGGCTTCATCTCAAATTTTAGAATCCCTCCAGATTTTTCATTGCCCGCCTAATACTTTCATTATCCGCAAAAAAAACCTATCTCTCGACACTTCGCCGTTCCTTCATGCCTGGAGCCAGAGCCGTCGTTCTTATCTTCTTCGTCGATGCCTCGACACCGGGAAGTGGTCTTCCGATCTTCAAAGAGTACCACGATCCCGGTCCATCCCACTTATCGACGGTGCATATGCCTGCCTCAGCTGCCGTGTGAAGCCAACATCACAACCCCAATCTCTACTACCTCCAATTTACAGGTTTTACTTTATCTTGAAAATACTCTAATGGTTCAATTATGTGAATTTCTTTGCATATCTCTTGAAAGTACTTTGAATAATTTTAATTATGTGATTGAAATTATTCTAATTGTTCAATTATGTGGATTTATTTGCTTAATTTTTGTTACCTCAATTTGATTTTTGATTTTTTATTGATATACTTTTAGATCAGTTTTTTTTATAATTTTTTTTATCTAAAAAATATGAAAGAATCAAATTTTGTTCACACCTACTAGTTTTACAGTAGGTTTTAAAAACAAATTTTGGCAATTTTATTTGAGTAGAGTATAAGTTCAGGTTTGGATTCATATTATCTTCCTTAAGACTTTGGTACATGCATCTTCTTTAGAAAGCCATTTATGTTCATTTACTGAGTTTCTGGCTATTCTTGTTTCTTGTGTTCTTCCAATTCAGCCTTGACCATATACACTGGAACTCCTAATCATTTTCCCTTTTCAATGGGAATACAAGACGTTCTTCTCAATACGTTGTCTAACTTCACCTTAGATGGATCCATAGATTGTCCAGCCAAGACAAAACCTAAGCGATCCATCTTTCTTAGATTTAGACCTAGCCCTAAAGGATCTTTTCTTCAACTCATAGAAAGGAGACAAGATGGAAGGAATATGATATTCATCCTGGAAGGCCAACAAGGTAATGGCTTTACAACCTTAAGTATTTGGTTTGATTTAATGTTTCTTTTTTGGTTCGATTTAGTGTCTCTATCTGCAATTTTTAAGTATTTGGTTCGATTTAATGTTTCTTTTTTCCTTATGGTTCAACTGCAATCCTGTTCTAAAAACCTCCATGTATTGGAAAGCCATATGCATGTCAGAGTGGGAGTTAGCATTCAGAAACTTGGACAGAATCTGTTACAGCCTTGAAGCCTTTGTCTGCATAGCTCTTTTCTTCTTCTGGGTTATATATTTTGTTTAAATGCTGCCAAATAGGGATTGATTTTAAATTACAGAGTATATTATATTATGTAATAACGATAATCAACTCTTGCAATCTTCTAAATTTTGATGTTTAGAGAAGAGCTTTTATTATGTGGTTTAGCAGTATACTCTGATAGATGATTTTCTAGATGCGGTGACAGTGCTAATTGTTCTTCGTCATGGCTTTGGGCCTGGTTCTATGCTAGGTTCGACCTTATCACTCTGTTTGGTTCTCATAGATAGTTGCAGATGCTCGACATACTTTTTTCTAACCTGATATAGGATGTTTGCCTTTGGATCCTCTAGCATGATAGATAAGTGGCTTTAATCTAACTTGAAATTGATACTTAGTATTTGGTGAAGGGAAATTGAGAAATCTTACTTGCACCTTTTTGTTTGGATTGAACTTACCTTTTCTTTTGGATCACGGAGCTGAGTCTCATAGTAGTTGTGGTTTAGAAGCTTTTACATGTCAAATGTTCAGTTGTAGTGTTACTTGGAAAACTTCTATTGTTTGGGGGGATCATTCTATGGGTTGTGTCCTATTCATCAGCACTTAACCATTACAGCTCCATGGACAAACCAGTACAACCTGGGCAGTCCTAGCCGAAGCAATGTAAGGAAGGCAGTGAAGAACAAGTCTATAAACACCAGCAGGTTCATGATGCAGTTTATCACACACAAGCTCAGTTGGTTATCCTAGAATTTAGCTTCTAAATATGGTTGTTGGTTAACAATTCTTGGGTTTGGTTTCAATTTTATTTTACTAGCTTTGGTGTATGTTTATCTAGGTTCGACTATGATAGTTTGATGTAGGGAATAGTTTTTAGCTTTTCTCGAGGGGCTTTGGTTTGGTCCTCCCCTATTGTACTTGTTTCTCTATTTCATTTTTCATTTAATAAAAATACTTTCATAAATAAATAAATAAATCTATGTGTGTGTGTGTGTGTGTGTGTCTGTATAGTCTTTACTTATTATAGATAACTGTGAAAAAAAAACGGTGTGACACACACTACTAGTAATACATTACGGTTTCTCAAAACTTTGAAAATAGTTCTAGGATTAATAGTCTAACTACTATTTAAAAAGGGTATTCTTAATTTATTATTAACAACTTGTAATAGATTACGGTTTCTATGAATTTTAAAAATAGTTCTACCCTATATAAATATATTACTGTTACAAGGGAGTCTTCTATTCTTATAATAAACAAGTATGAAAAACAAAACCATATGAAACATACAACTAACAATATAATACTATTTTTTATAAGCTTAAAAATAGTTATAAACTGAAAAACCAGACTACTGTTTAGAAATAGTAGTCTTAACTAATTATTGACAACTGTGGCAACAAAAACTGTATTTTTAGGTGCAACGGCCTACTAATAAGAGATTACCGTTTCTGACAAGTTTAAAAACAGTTCTACCCTTAATTCATAGACAACTGTTACAAAAGAGTCTTTTATTCCCATTAGAAACAATGGTGACAAAAAAATCGTATGAAATAGACAACTAGCAATAGATAACTGTTTCTAATAAGTTTAAAAATAGTTCTAGACTAAAACATCATACTACTGTTTAAATAGAGTATTCTTATTTTGTTATTGACAATTGTTGCAACAAAAACTGTATTTAGAACTGACACAGACAACTAGTGATATATTACCGTTTCTCGAAACTTTAAAAAACTGTTTTAAAGCATAGTAGCTAGACTACTGTTCTGTAGCCAAGAAAAACTCACAGCAGTCTGTTTTCTTAACTACTGTGTTTCCATAAACAGTAGTTGATCAACAGTCGTTTGATACTGTTTTTGGCGTAGTGCGGAGTCAATCCCTATATATATATATATATAATATATATATATATAGATATATATATATATATATATGTATGTATGTATATTTTTTTTTAAAGAAAGGATTTTTATTAAATAATTCGGAAGTTGGTACAAGAAATGTCACAAGTGATGGCTCCCTTTACATTTTTAGGGAGAGAGTAAAAGTTATTGAAAGTTTTAAATGAGTTGGATCGGATGGCATGTTGTGCGAGATTGTGGGCCGCTTCGTTCTCTTTCCGATAAACATGTTTGATTGAAACATTATGGGCTTCAAGTAGCATTTTGAGAGTTGAAAATACTCCTGCTCTTTGGAGATTTCTTGCTTCTTTGACTGTCGATTGGGAGTCCATTCTGAGATGAATTGGCCCATTGGTAAATGGGGTTGCCCATTTAATGCCCATTATTGCTGCTTCTGCTTCTCCTTCAAGAGAGTTAGTTGCTCTTACGGTTGAGGTAATGGCTGCTATGAATTGTCCTGTGTTTGTGCGCAGAATTGCTCCCCCCGCACTTTGCTCCCCTTTTGTGCGCAGAATTTCTCCTTCTATTTCTCCCTTCCATTTTAGGATCTTGATTGCTGGAGTGTGGAAACCCGGTAGTTCTAGATTGTCGAAATGCAAACTCTTTTTGTTCTTAACTGCTGCCCATTCAATGAGTGACTTCCAAATGATTTGGATGATTTGATATTCTGATTTATGCTCCTCATTGTGATTTCTTCGGTTTCTTTCTTTCCAGATTTCATTGGCTATTATTCCTGGAAGAACGATTTTTGCTGCTCTATTTGGGTTTGCAGGCCCTGTCTGATGCCACCATGCCATTAGATAAGCTCGTATCCCATGTGTAGTTGATCTTGTGAAATGGAATAGAGATTCAAAATGTGTCCAAATGGCTTTGCTGTAATGACAATCCTTGAGTGTATGGTTGGCGTTATCTTCATTTTTCCTGCAAAAAAGACATATAGAGGGAAGGCAAAAGTTGAATTTGGTTAATTGCTTGGGGAAGGGTAGGGTGTTGTTGTAGAGTCTCCAAAGAAAAGTGGAGACTTTGGGATATTGGTCCTTGTTCCAAGCATATTCTAAGAAAGGAATAGGGTTGCTTTTCTCTCTCACAGCCTCTTTAGCAAGCCGTAAAGTGAAGCCAGATTGGCCATCCTTCCAGGTGAGATGGTTTTGGTCATTCAGGGTAAGGTATTCATCTGTAATTGCATTGGTTTGACAGAGTCTCTTCCATATAGGAGAGTCAATGATCTGGGAAGGAACATTTAGGCCTCTGGGGTATCTCTGGTGCAGGAAAGTGGCCCAAATAGAGCTGTTTTGCATGTAGGTCCACCATAAGCCTTTTGAAGAGTATCCAGACTAGTGAAGCCTAATCCTCCTTCAGCTTTGGGAAGACAGAGAGTGTCCCATTTGTGCCAGTGGTACTTAGGAATTCCATCATTGTTACCCCAAAGAAAGTTATTCATCTTTTGACTCAGGCTCTTGACCAGACTTTTAGGTAAGTTTGTGCATCCTAGTGTGTGAAGTGGGATTGCACTTAGGACATGCTTAATTAGGATCATTCTTCCACTTTGGGAGAGGAGTTTCTTGTACCAGCTTTGGAGTTTCTTGTCAAAATGAATGAGGAGATCAGTGCAGTATCTTTTCCTATTGATTCCTTTGTGGATGTGTCCACCCAGGTATTTGAAAGGGAGGCTGCCTTTGTTCATATTCAGAACATTCTCCATCTTTCTAGCTTTAGATGCTAGGGTTTTGGGAGGGGGGTAGAAGTAGCACTTGCTGTGATTAATGGTTTGGCCAGAAGCTTCCTCATAGTCCTTTAGGAACTTTGAAAATTTAATGAGATTTGAGGATGATCCATTGAGGAAAATGAGCAAGTCATCTGCAAAGGCAAGGTGGTTGATAGGTTGGTAGTGTCTGCCCATAGTGTAGGGACCAATGTGTTTGCTGTTAATAAGGTGATTAAGCCTTCTGCTAAAGCCTTCTACTGCAATTATGAAAAGAAGAGGAGATAAGGGGTCTCCTTGTTTCAGTCCTCTTTTAGGGTTGACGGCTTTAGTGGGGTACCCATTGATTTGGATGAAGTGTTGGGTAGCCTTGAGCTGGTTTGAGATAAGGGTTCTCGTCTTAGATCCAAAACCAAATTTCTGCATGATGGCTTCAAGGTAGTCCCAGGAGACCCTATCAAAGGCTTTTGACATGTCCAGTTTGATAGCTAGGTTTCCCCCTCTGGCTTTGTAACCTATTCCATGAATCATTTCTTGGGCAAGGAGGATCTGATCCTGGATGATTCTTCCTTGGACAAAGGCCCCTTGTTCCTGAGAAATAATTTTAGGAAGGACTTTCCCAATTCTGGTAGCAAGGATTTTAGAGGTTACTTTGGCTATGAAATTTGAAAGACAGATGGGTCTGTAGTCTTCAAAGGAGCCTGGGTTGTCTTTTTTGGGAATGAGGATTATGTTTGTTTTGGCCATGGATCTTGGGATATTAATCTCAAGGTAAAATTCCTGGATAGCTTTGGTGACATCCTCTTTGATTATGTCCCAGCAGTATCTAAAGAATTCCCCTGTGAAACCATCAGGACCAGCTGCACTTGTAGGGTCAAGGCTCCAAACACTGTCTTTGATTTCCTCTTCTGTGGGTAGAACATCTAGGAAAGAGTTATCCTCATGTGTGATTAGGGTTGGAATGTTACTGGTGAAAGTGTCAATTTTATCACTTTTCTTCCATGAAAAGAGATTGGAGTAGAAGGAGTGGGCCTCTTCCAACATTTGATTTTGATCCACCAGCCACTGCCCTTGTGAGGATTTAATCCTTTGGATTTTTTGGAAGTATCTTTTCTCCTTGACTGTGTTATGGAAGAA